ATTTAATTATAAAGAGCAAGCAGCTTCTCATGGGAAATAGATTCTGTTTTAGTTTTTACAAGACATAATAAAGAAACAATTTATGATTTCAAAAATGACACTAGAGGGGATTAAATATATTAGATAGAGGAAAGATTTACAAGCCTGCAAATGTTGCAAAATGTTCTAACCATAAAAATATTGAAGGAGACTTTTGAAGAATGGAATCAGAAAATAGTAGCCACAATATCAGTGATGTCAGTAATGATGTCTGCTTCTATGGACAGACTGTGTCCAAAAGATGTTATTGAAGAAATGACAGATGTAGAACAAATTTTAGCTGACAAGATAGAGATGGTATCAAAAATGGGTTTACAACTGACGGGCCAAGAGAATGACTTAGAAAAGGATGGTTTGATGGATCTACAAAAGAAACTGGCTGAGGTTTAAAAATTTAAAAGGAAAATACAAACAACAAACCAAGAGAGTGACCAGGATAATTTTTTTCTTATTAAAAACTTGAAGAACTCTGTGCAATGGGACAAAGAAGAAATGAAAAGAAATTAAATCCAACAATATCTGAATGAATTGTTAGAAGTAAAAGGAAGAAATATAAAGTTGGTTTATTTCATCAAGGTTAAAACAAAATATGTTGTTACTTCTGGCTACCCTTTTTGGACTTTCTGCTGATACCGGGATTGAAAAGATGATGTTTGATTGATTTGTTTGTAGATAAGATATGGAATGAAGAAATAAATGTTTGTAACTTTAGAGAGAGTGAAGAGTTACTAAATTTGTTTATACTTGTAATGAAGGTTGGAAGTCACTTCTTTATATATTTCTTTTCTCTTTATTGTATTCTGACTTTTCTCTTCCTTCTCTTTTTCTTTTTTTTCTTTTTCCTTGCACTTTTTACTTCTTCTCTCTGTTCTCCTTTCTTTTTTTAAGTTTAGTGTGTATTAATGTTACTATTATAATCAAAATTCTTAATAAAATTATATGTATATCGTATATCATATATATGAAGATGGTTTCTGCCTGGCCAGTAAGTGCCAAGCCCCTTCAATTTAACATTGTAATCTATTGGGACATAGGAAGCACACCTCCTCTGTTGTGGTGCCTGCCCTCTGGAACGAGATCCTCCTGAAATCCGTGTGGCCCCCACCCTGTTGGTGTTCTGAAGAGCCTTGAAGACCTGGTGGTTCTCCCAGGCCTTCGGGTGGGATGGATGGGGCCCCTTATTGGGTGTGTCTGTTATTTTGTTCTTGTGTGCATATTGTGCCTGGGTACCATAATGTCTGTGTTTGTGTTGGTTTTTGTGGTATTATATTGCGAGCTGCCGCGAGTCAGTTGGACAGTGTCTAAATTGAAATAGATACATACATGATTTTCACTGAATGTGACTTGCTGCTTCTCTCACGGTCCAGCTTCCCAGTCCATCTTTTTTTAGTACAGTGTGATTTTGCCATGTGTTCTCTTTGTCTGGAAAGTCATGAGTGTTTGGGCTCCTCCGCACGCCCTCTCTGCCCTGGCTCCCAGATGCTTGCCCCTCCTTGAAGATGGCTCCTCGTGATGGAGCCTCCATCCTGGGGCCAGCCTGGATCGGAGCGACCTGCCTAGAAAGCAGTGCTTCTGTTGGAAAATGGAGCTTTTCTCTAGGCAAACATGGGGGGCTTCAACAGGGAAGAGCCTGAGGGGGGCTGGCAGCCCGCAGGACTCCGGCTGGCCCGGCTGGCCCCTCTCCGGCAAAGGGCCGTGTGCCTCCGTAGCCACGTCTGCTTTGGCTGCCGGGAGAACCGGAACCTGCCCAGCGGCCAAATGTCGCTTTTCTGGCATTCTTTGGAGCCAGAGGTCTCTGCGCTTCTGGCCTGCCCTGCGGCTCTCGGCTTCTCTGCTCAGCGGCTGCAGCAGATGGCCAGGCTGCCCGCTTTCCCACCTGGTCACCGTTGCTCTACACATTTTAGGGGCTCCGTATAGCCGTGGATGAGCTGAGCCTGGACGAACGGCAGAAGCGGAAAGGTGTCATCAGCGAAGTGCCTTTTGCAGGAGCCCTTTCTCCTCCGGGCTGCAGGGGTGGAGGCTGAACTCTTCTGTGGGGTTGCTTTAGGCGTCTTTTGAGGAGCGCGCAAAAGGTTTGCTGGTGTGCACATGTGTGCATATGAGGGGCAGGGAAGTGCTAGTTCATAATGGCAACTTAAAGTTTTTGGAAATACTTGCACCCCTCTCTTTGCAAAGTTTTTGGGGACCTGAAAGGAACGTTGGCAAAGACAGGAGAGCCACGCTGCTAGAAGGATCGGTGCTTGGCCTACAGTGGCAGTGACCACCTACTGCAGCTGTTGCCCAG